ATGATCCTATGCCACTAGTACAAAAAAGTGATATGATGTCAAGATACAAAATAGTTCATAAAGGAACTAATTTAATAAGAAAGATAATGACATTTTTGGAAATAATACCACTACTTTTGAAATTGGTTGTGAGACTCAATTCTTAACAAAAATCTTATATACTTCTGAACACCTCACCTTAGAACATCACAATATATAATTATTGGTAAAAGCACAATAATTACCCAAACTTACAATGTTATAAGAATTTTTAATTCAATGATTAAAATTTGATGTAAAGTTATTGAGTCAAGTAAGCCTACCAAAATTACTCTTGAGTGAATAACTCCCCCTCCCCCTCCCCTTTCTCTCTCTATATATATTAATTAGAAAATATATATAATTTTTTAAATTATATATATATTTTTATTTCTATAGTTTGCTATGTTTGAAAGGCCACATAGAACCACTCCAATTTTTATTACATGTACATCTATTCCGCTTTCAATAAAATTAAGCAAAATAAACCTAACCAATTTTGCATCAAATCAAGTACCGACTTTCTAAGCCCAATTTTTTTTTTTTTTTATTTAGATTTTGATTTTGGTTTATAATTATTAATTATGTATACTCATGTCTGTTCGACTAGATGTCTATATTAAGCAATTAGGAGAAAGGCCCGAAACAATAAGAATTATGTGAAGACTTAAAGCATGTTAAAGTATAAAATCCTGTGAAAAAAAATTATAAAAAGGAGAAGTATACTTTTAACCGACAACTATCTCATACTTAAATAATTAGTTTTGTAAAAAAAAAAAATTCAATTATATAATTAATGACTAACAAGTCCATAGTTCAAGTGTTATTAAACTAAATCTTTTTAAAAGAATTGAGTCTAAGTTTTATGAATAGAAAAATGTAATTAAGAGAGAAGACCTATTATAGGTGATTGGTAAGATTTTTCTATAAAAATTAAGCATCAGAATATTTTATATCAATATATAGTTAAAAAAATTATATAATTGATTATGTAATTAGTTTGTACTCCCACCCAACTTATAATTAGTCGGCCTGATAACGTCTAGGCTCGGATCAAGACTCGAAAGAACAGCTTCAGTCTTACACTTCTTGGCTCGGCCAACGACTGAGACGACTAAATACAACAATTAGGACAATGATCATGATTAATAAGAACAAACACATAATTAAGGCATAATCAACTATTTAGCACCGTATTACCTAATTTGGTAAATGTTAGAGGAGACCCACCACGCTTAGGGCCCATTATAACTAGTATAAATAGGTAACGTAAAACGAGGTATGTACTATTCATTTATTATCATCGAGATTCGTGTTTGTCCTGACTTGAGCGTCGAAGTGTCTTTTGCAAGTACCATTCCCCTCTGAAGCATCCGTTCAAGGCTCTCGTTTGGCCTTCAGACTACTAGAAAATTACGAGTGTGCCCGTGCCCTTAAACATGTACAAAATATAAACAAAATTCAATCAAGTTGACTTATATTTAATGTTTTCAATCTAAAAATATGTATCCTTAAGAATATAAACAAGAGTGTTATCTATAATAATTGTGATTCATGATATTTTATGAAATGTAGTATATATTTTTATATAAAATTAAATATATTTAACTAGTTTTCTTAATATGTTTGAAACTAATTTTTATTATTATTTATACATACATACCTAGACTCATATACGTCAGTGTTAATTAAATTTATTATATTTAATGTTATTATCTTTAAGATATTTCTTAATTTAAATGTGGTTGTTTTTTTTAATGATGTATTTTATTTTTAATTTCAAATTTCGAAAAAGTATAATTTAAAAAATTAAGATATTTTAAACAAGTTTAGTGCAAATAAATGATATTATAATTAATTTTCTTAATTAGCGTAAATTATTTTATTTTATTTTATTTACAAAATTCAGAATCAGAGCTGTATTCTTTAACATGACTATGAATACGTAAGCACTTGGTGAATTTTGACTGAGCCTGTTTTGAAGGTTGTAAGTTGTAAGTTGTATTGTATGGGAATATGATTCCCTACAGACTACAGTTGAAATATCAATTTGCATTCTTTTTATGGTGACCATATAATTTGTATTGATTGGTGCCACCGCCCGAGTTCACACGCGCGCATTCACATTTCCATGCATGCTTATGTCATGCTCAATTCCATCACCTCCATGCGTAATTACCTATCATACCTTCTCTAATGCTTATCATTTTCACCAATTTATTATCAAATGGATAATTATTTCTTTTGTTTCAATATTCTTGAAAGAGACAACATTAGAATACTCTCTACATAGATTGACCACATCTTTTGATGTAGCATTAATGCTAGTAGTAGTGTGGCTCATAAACTTCTGCATATTCCTCAATGGCTCAAGAAAGCATTTGTGCACAATTGAAACTTTAGATATACTTGAATTCACATCTAAAGGTGCCAAAATAAAAACTAACAAGAAAAGAATTAATCACATATCAGATAACCTCAAAACATGATTAATTTAAGAGTTATAATTGATATCTATATAATTTAAAATATGAAAGCGACAAGTTATGGTGTTTTAATCTATAATTAAATGTTTTAATCACTAAAAATTAGACTTTTTAAGAGATGGAATTATTTATTTATAGGTTAATGATTAATATATAGTTATAAATTTATTGACAAATTGACACTTATGAGACCGTCCCTTTTATATAAATGTGCATTTGAGAAAGGTAACGTATGTCATGATGTCGTCATTTTTGGCAACTAGTTGTATGAAGAAAAAAAAAACTTTTAGCGTCAAATTTTATATTAATTTTTATTTTAAATTTTTAGTTGATAATTATAAATAATTAAATATTTCACTTTCTAGACAATTAGTTTTTTTTAAGTCCTCTCTAAATAATTGCTCATTACTCAATTACTTTTGTTAGCGGCGATGATCGATGTTTTAATAACACAAACATTCTTCTTAAGAAACATAATTAGACCGTTTAATAGTGGCTATTCTTTCATAATAAAGATAGAGATTACACTCTCGTTTCTTGTTGTTTGACAATTTGGCGATCATAATTTGTTTTATTTTGACTGTAATTTTATAATATCATGTAATATCACATATTTTTTTTCTACTATATTGTTAACCATTATTAGTGCATTTTTTTAACTAAAGTGTTGTTTTTCTTTTTCAATATTTTCTTTATTAGATTTAAATCCAAAAAAATTAAGAGAATATTTGGAAGATACTTTTTTTTTTGCTTAAATATATATTTTCAGTCCTTCAAATTTAGGATAAATTCATTTTTATTCCTCAAATTTAAAATTATTATTTTTAGTTCTTATAATTTTTAAAAAAAATTATTTTAGTCTTTATATTCAAATTTTATTAAGAAATTTATCAAACATTATTGCATAAAATCTATTTATTGGTGTCCCTCATAGTAAAAATATCACATTAAATGCAATTGATATTGCATAACCGTCTTAATTTGTCACTTTAAATATATTATTGGTGATTTGAGGGACTAAAACAAGATTTTTGAAAATTACAGAGATTAAAAAAATAATTTTAAATTTGAGGAACAAAAACAAATTTATCTTAAATTTAAAGGACTAAAAACATATTTAAGTCTTTTTTTTTTTATATAAAATCATACATATTAATTTTTTTTTTTTTTTTTTAAGTATTATGTAAAAGTTTTAAACATTAAACAAAATGGAAAGGAGCTAGGGGAGAGGGATTACAATACTCCATGACGTGTGTATATTAATTTTTAGATTAAATTCTTCCTCAGCCATTATGTGTAGAAAAAACAAATTAATTAATCTTCTTATGGATATTAAGAAGTTTCTTTAGTTTAGTTTGCACACCTAGAATCAAGACAATCAATGCAAGGTGTGTGTATATTAAGTTTTAGATTTATTCATCCTCAGCATTGATGTACAAATTGAGTGTAAAAGAGGTAATAATCTCCGATAACTTTTAATGGTGGGAATTATTATGATTAATTTTTGAAAAAAAAAATCTGACCAGTTAATTTTAGTGGAGTCTAAGTGTGTTTATTAGATATGATCAATTTGACTAATCTGACAATTTAAATTGAATTAATTAAATTAGATTAGATTTTTTTTTGTCTAATCCAAACCAAACCAATTAAATTCAATTTTGATTGGTTCGGATATCAAATTTACATATTTAAAATTTAAATTATCTCGAATCAAATCAATTAATTTATATATTTTTTATTTGGTTAACAATTAATATATATGTATCATTTTGATTATTTTGAAAACGTTTGTGTTACAAAATATAATTTTTTTCATTCTTTTTATTCAAATACTTAAAGAAATAAAAAAAAACTATATTAAAATATATTGGAGAAAAAATTATTTTTAATTTAATTTTCTTAAAAAAATTATTGGATATCCAATTATTCAAATTGAACTAACTCAATCAACATCCAATTAATTTAGTTCAATTTAAGAAGAAAAAAAAAATTATAAAACCTAAACCAATTCAAACCAATTAAATTTAATTTTTATTCAAATTTAATCCAACCCATAGCTAGCAGACTCTCTTTTAAAAACACTTATATTTTGGTAACAATATATAGTACAAATTGATTTTATTCATCCGCACTTTTTTGGTAACAAGATACTAAAGTAGAACTCTTTTTAAAATCACGTATATATATTTTCATGTAATCTTTTACATTGACACCTTTTTATGAATGAATAGATACATGTTTTCATTAAAAAAACTATTCCTACTCGCGTATTTGACGAAGCAATACATGGTTTCATAAAAGGACATAATCTTCTTTGAAATTTGGAAATCCCTTGTATTTTCACCTCTTACTTACTTTTTATCCCTTTTAAAAAACACCTATTAATAAATAATAATAAAAAGTCATCTGAATTTCATTGCAGAAAAAGAAAAAAAGCATTTTCCATAGCATATATAGCACTCGAAAGGTCCCCAACGCGCATGGTCAAAACTCGACCCTGTGTGTGCATTTTAATCAGTTAGCTAGCGCCAAGTTGGCCCAAGTTTTAGTTCTTTGTAGCATACCACCACACAAAGTGAGAGAGAGAGAGAGAGAATAAAAGGAGATTGTTAAGCTTCCAATGCTTCGAAAATAGTGAAAGAGTACTAAAGCTTCCCATAGTACTCTACTCGATCGTCATATGTTGTATGGACATGGCTGTGGATGTGTTTCCATGGACAAAACCAAAACCAAGGAAGACACACCCTCTTTCTCTTGGTGGAACAAGACACCAACAATGTCGACAAACACACACCTATTTGTCAACCAAACGAAGCTTCTCAAACATGCGCTCCCTTGTGAATTTTCTCCTTGTCGTTTCTACCCTTTGTCTTTCTCCTGTTCATTCCTCACAATTGGGTAGCAACCAAACTTTTCTCCCAAAGGAAGAGTTCCGCAAGTTGAACGCCATAAGAAACCGTCTTCAGAAAATCAACAAGCCAGCTGTTAAGACAATTCAGGTTTGTGTAAATTCTCACCTTGTTTTGCTTTCTGGGATGGTTGAAATAGTATGCACAAGATCTTAAGTTCGAACGAAGTTTGATGAAGTATTCGTTGTAATAGGATGAAAAAAAAAAGCATGCATAATTGAGATGCTTGGGTTGTGTTTTGTAGAGTCCTGATGGAGATATTATAGACTGTGTTGTGTCTCATAAGCAACCAGCTTTTGATCATCCTCAACTGAAAGGACACAAACCATTGGTATTTTTTTTTCGTTCATTCATTGTTGTGTTGTTATGTGTGTTTTAATTTTAACTTAGATAAAAGATTGGTAATTAAGTATGCATGTGTGTGTAGGATCCTCCAGAAAGACCAAGAGGGCATAACGAAATGGGTGATTGGAGTGAGAATTTTCAGTTGTGGAGGCTATCGGGTGAGTCGTGTCCCGAAGGAACGATTCCGATTAGAAGAACAATGGAGCAAGACATGTTAAGAGCTAGCTCTGTTCGCAGATTTGGAAGGAAAAAAATAATAAACCGTGTCAGAAGGGACACCAGTGGCAATGGACATGAGGTATAAACTTGAGAGCCATCATAGAAAGCAACGCAAACTCAGATATTCTTTTCTCTTTTCTCTTTTTCTCAAACCAAGTAAAGTAGTTAGAAATAAACAAACATGTTAGCAGAAACCGATGAGACAGTAACTGGTAAAGCATGCATGCATATGGCCGTTGAATGTTTCATTTTTCATCATATGTTAAAACACATTTAAGCATTAATTTCCCCTATTTTACTATTTGTTAGTCCTCTTAACCATCAAACTGAAAATAGTGGTCTTTATTCTTTAAAAAAGCAACTAAAAGCTAAAATTGATTCTGAATGAAAGTGTAAACAATAAAGAGGGTCTCAAGTATAAAAACAAAAAACAAAATTAATTGATCATGAAACATCATACTTTTTTTTTTCTTCTATTTATAGTGATAGCAGAATTTCATGCTTTTCACCCTCAGTTAAATATTTGGTTCACTTGCTCCAAAGCAAAAGGGTCTTTTCTATTCTTCTCTATTGAAAAACATAATTAAACTTTGAAGTTAATTTCTTCAATGAACCTTAATAATGCTACCTTAAAATTGGTCTAACAAGAGCTTGTTGATGATGGTGCACAATGCACAGCATGCAATTGGGTATGTGACAGGGGATCAGTACTACGGAGCAAAGGCTAGCATAAACGTGTGGGCACCCCTTGTAGAAAACCCAAATGAATTCAGCTTGTCTCAAATGTGGGTCATTTCTGGTTCATTTGGGGATGATCTCAACACCATTGAAGCTGGTTGGCAGGCATGTTACTATCATTACTTCATCTCAATTAATTCCTCATTTACTTTGTACTATTTTTTTTTCTTTATCTTCCAAAGTTTTTTCTTAATTGCATTCCATTTGGTCACGCATTCAAAAGGAAGTTGGCACATTCAACCACCTACCTCTCATTTTCATCCATGTATTTAATTTTGTACTTTAGCCAACCAAGCTAATTTCAAGTAATTTTCTATGCAGGTCAGCCCGGAGCTATATGGAGACAGCTACCCTAGATTCTTTACTTATTGGACGGTAAGTAAATTCATTCAAGAAATGCTGGTGGAAAACTATATAATATGTATTATTATTTTGGCTTTCAACTGTAATATACCTAGTAATATATCTTTTTTTTTTTTAATTTAAAAGCGTTAATGATATTAATAATCGCCATCATTTGCAGACTGATGCATACCAAGCAACTGGGTGTTACAATTTACTTTGCTCGGGCTTTGTTCAAACTAACAGTAAAATTGCAATTGGAGCAGCAATCTCTCCAACTTCTTCATATAGTGGTGGCCAATTTGATATTAGCTTACTCATTTGGAAGGTAATTTTCTGCTCAGCTTACCAAATTGACCTTGGAAAATTTTAGACAATTTGGGGTTTTTTTTTTTTTTTTTTTTTTTTTTTTTTTTTTTCTTTTGTCTTTGGTTTTACTATTTTTATTTGACGGGTACTGGCAGTTTTTACTGTTGAGGAGGAAAGTTAAGGTTTGTCTCACTGGTCATATTAAACGATTTAAGGATTCACTTTATCAATTTACTGTTAAAACCCCTTGTAAGAAAATGGATACTTTACACAAGATCAGCTTAAGGGTCCCATATATGAAATAAAACGTTTGATTTGATCCGCAAAATATGTAAATCTCGTAGTCAAAGTCTCAAAGGAGCCAAAAACTAAGGAAAATCTAAACTGAAAAGATGGTCAATGTGGGGCTCTCCACAATTTTGGAAGTTTCTTATTGCCTTTGAATTTTGTTATTACATAGTATATAACAAAACTAATTTTTTAAAAAATAAATTATCTACTGTTACACATGAAAAAAAAATATCTAAACTAGTAATATTAATAATATTTACTTTATCATCACATCATGTTACCGAATAAGATGACTTAGGATTATACAATTTAAACTCTTGTAAAATAAGCAAAGGCAAGGCCATTATAAAATTTTCAAATGATTATAAAATATAAAACAGTGAGAAAAAAGCGAAACAAAATTATGGTGCACAAAATTTTGTACAGCGTCCCGTCTTAGTTAATATGTGCACCACTTTACCTACTTTACTACTTTGGAACATCACACGCGTGCAATGAGTGCATACGAATAATGCACTGTAACAATCTTATGCTTTACTTCTTTAAGATTCTTTTTCCTTTTCCAACTAAAGAGCCTATATTTCTGAGCATCCCACCTTTCTTTTTTTGATTTCCTTCAATTTTCTAATATTTTAACAAAATCCCAACATTTTGCATTATTTCATGAGTTTAATAAATAGTCGTACTCTAATGGTGTAAAATAGTTTTATGTCATAGTTTATTATAAATTATAAATATTTTGACTTTTATAATAATTATTTTAAAAATTATATATATAAACTGTAATTTTTTACTAACTGAAATTGTAAAACTTTTTACACCGAGAATAGTTACCATTAAATCCTTGTATCATTCACCACCTTTGTTTTTTGCTCCTCTTTTTTGACCCATTCCACTTCTCATGCTGGCCAACATGGTGCTATTAATGATTATGTCTATGTTTGAGTAGCTTTGCTTTGTGACAAAAGAGAAGGGTGAGATTGAAGGTTTAATTTCCTTTACTCTTTTTTGAGCAGGATCCAAAGCATGGGAATTGGTGGCTTGAATTTGGATCGGGGATCCTAGTTGGGTACTGGCCATCTTTCTTGTTCTCCCACTTAGGGGATCATGCAAGCATGATTCAATTTGGTGGAGAAGTAGTGAATTTAGGGTCATCAGGGTCTCACACTTCCACCCAAATGGGTAGTGGACATTTTGCGGAAGAGGGTTTTGCAAAAGCTTCATATTTTAGGAACATGCAAGTTGTGGATTGGGACAACAACTTAATTCCCTTGTCAAATCTAAAGGTGCTTGCAGATCACCCCAATTGCTATGACATACAAGGAGGGTTTAATAATGCGTGGGGGAATTATTTTTACTATGGTGGACCTGGAAGAAATGTAAAGTGTCCCTAAGGGAATGAATGAATGAATGAATGATATATAGAATGATAGGTAGAGGTGAACCCTTTATTTTTTTTTGTATCTTTAATGTCTTTTGCCATTTCTGGGTTTGGTTGATAGGGTTTTGTTCTCAAGGTCACTCAATGAACTTGGGTCATTTATTCATATATTAAATTATATATATGGCTCTTATTTGTTTATTTATTATTATTTTTTGTTTCTTTTGGCTAACAGGTCATCCTTTGAACACACAATTGCCACCTGGACTCTCTTGTATATATATCTTGAAAGAGAAATAGTGAATATACTGCCTTCATTGGCATCCCTTCCCCCTTCCAAAATTCCAGCAGTTTTCCTTCTACATACTTCTCTCCTCTTCATTTTTCTGCATGTACTTCAATTACATATAATGATAACTTGCAAATGAGTTCATATAATCTTATAATAATATCTGGCCGAATATAATTTTATAACAGCTGGCCCAAACCAAAACCCATATTAAATTTGTTTCAATTGATAGATCATGAAAGCCATAATCCCAACGACTGATTAAAAAAATTCGGGAATATAAGTTCATATAATTTTTTAACCCCTTTTTTTATATAAAAATGAAACCTTTTTTATTCTATTTTACAATAGACGATAAAAATATTTAAATTTAATTATGTAAATTATTCAAAATATTCTCATCAACACTAACATGTCTTTGGTTCCAATGAAACTAAACTTAAACTATTAAATAAGATTTTGGAATTCAAATTCTGTGAATAGAAAAATGTGATTCAGAGAAACTTCAATAAAAATTATTATTAGTCAAATTAATTTTCTGACTAAAATTAGTTAACTACAAAGTTAATATATACATATAGGTTAATGATATATTTCTTCTGCTTGTATATGTTTTAATTTTAGCATTATTTTTAGGTATGAATATTATAGTAAAAAGTTTTATCAATAACTTTAATTTTATTAAGCATGTTGACAGAGGTAGTCTTTACACTAAAAAAAAATGAATTAGCCTCCGATTATTTGTTAGAGGATATACTTGGATCATATTAAAAACAAAATCTTTAATTAATAAGGAGAGGACTTTCGGAGAGAAATTTTGATTTAATCAGTTGGAAGTTATTTAAAGGAAAAAAATTCACCATATATATATAGTTGATACTTACATTCTTTTGTACAAATTAACATTTTCTTTATTATCTAAATGCGACAGCGTTGTGATATGCAATCAAACTGAACAGGTTCCATATATATATATTGTACCTGTCTGATGGGCACACTAATAATCTTCTCGTACTCTGAAGGCCGAACGAGCGCTCCAATCGAATATTCCGGTGAGGGGGAGGTACCTGCAAAAGGCACTCCAACGCTCAAGTCAGGACAAGCACGAATATTTACGGTAATTAATGAACAGTGACGTTACCTTGTGACATGAGCTATTTATACTGACATTTATGGGCCCGGATTACCATGGGCCCTGCAACAGGATTACCATATTAGGTAATATGCCTCTAATCGGCTTATTGGTGTGATTAACTCTTAATCCTCAATTAAGGGTAATTCTTAACTCTTGATTAGGAGGAATATGAGCTTATGGACCATCTGGTGGCCGATCAGCAGTCGGCTACTTGGTTCGGCCATTTGGGTGCCGTTTGGGTGTCGGTCATTAGGTGGCCGAATGGCCGAACCAGGTGGCCGAATGGTCTCACTAGTACACTTGCCCCCTAGCCTTGGGGAAGGAATACCTTGTTCAAGGGTATAGATATGGTGTTAAGGTATGTGAGGAGTCGAAAGGTTGAAGCGATCTCCATCGTTGGATTTTGAAGATCTGGCAGTTACTTTTTCGAATTTTTTGAATTTTCCCGCCATTTTTGTTTTGATATATATAGGTATGAGTGGTAGGGTCTCCTACGCGTATCGCTTTCTGCCGAATTGTGTCGTCCGAGCTAGTGTAGAGATCCAACCACACACGCCAAGTGATCGTTTCAAGTTTTCATTGTTGGTAAGTTCGAATTTATGGCTACTTCTTCCGAGAGCTCTTCGGCTAGTGGGGCTCGGTCGGCTTCATTCGAGGGGTCATCGTTTAGTGCTTCAGGGCATTCACGCGTGGAGGTATCTTCGCCGAATGAAATCAGAGGATCTGGTGAGAGTGAGAGTGGATCCGAAGAGACTTCGACTAGTGGGAGTGAGGAGGTGCCGATTAGAAGTAGGCGTGTCTCCAATCGGCAAAAATATGGGCATTCTAAAGTACCGGAGTACGAATGGGTGAATGGAGAGGTCACTTCATATTACTCTCGCTACCGAGATACTACTATGATTACCAACCTATTGGAGTATACCAAGTGTTTGTATTTCGATGCTGGGGAGAATCCCTACCCGATTGGGGTTCGTGTGTGCCGAAACAACGCCTTTCCCAATCCCGACATGGTATGCTTAGACAAACAGGCCGAGAAGATGGCATCCTTCTATATGTACGATTGCCTTCTGCGAGATTTAAAGGTGAAATTGCCGTTTGATGAATTCACCATGGGGGTTCTTAGAGTTTTAAACGTGGCCCCGACTCAACTACACCCGAATAGTTGGGCACAGCTTCAGGGGTTTAAACATCTGTGTCGGTGCGTGAACATTAAACCTTCCCCTCTACTTTTTCTCTATTTTTACTCTTCTCGGCCTTCAGATCTGGCGAAATGGGTGTCTCTCAACCGAGTGGGTAGTCGGCAGCTTTTGGACAGTTTCACTTCGTCTTATAAAAATTTTAAAGCTGGATTTTTTCGAGTGACTATTCGTCCGAACGGAAGACGTTTTTTCTTTGGAGCTGATGACTGGAGTTTGTTTCCGTTGTGCTGGACGCGTGCCCCTCGGCCATATGATGAAGTGCCAGACGAGCTTCTCTCAGCCGAAGAGCAAAGGGACGTGCAATTTTTGCTTCAACTTCCTCGGCGCTTGCCAACGAGGTCTTTAATTAACTTAGTTGACTCTTCCTGATAGGACTACGATTTGATAGGTACGTGATCTTCCTATTTCGGCCTTAAGCTAAATTCATATTGATGTTCACTTGGTTGTTTGTGCAGGAATCATGGTGAAGAGTGGTGCTGACGAATTCAACATTCGTGACATTATGGCCGGTCGGATTCAGCAAGTTAAGGCTTCTGGAGGTGTAGGTAGCTCAACCATTGCCCAGTCTCCTCGGCCAGATCAAGATAGCCGAACCCCTCCTTCTCTGACCCGTAAACATAAAAATGGGAAGAAAGGGAAGGGGGTTGCTGAGGGAAGCCACAAACGGAAGCATGCCGAAGAGAGGCCCGAGAAGACCAAGAAGTCGAAACAAACAGTGTCTTCACCGGGTGGAACGGTAATTTGTGTGCCTCCCGGATTGATGTCTCGGTCCTTCTGGGGTGAAGGTATTTATGCCGATTCGCTTGTTCGGCCGGAAGCCTTTTCGGAGCAGGGCCGAGAATTTTTGGGCCAGCTTGATGCGGTGTCGAAGTGGAAATGTTATTGCGAGTTGTAGTCTCGGTCGCTGGCATTGGTGAATCAACTTGCCATGGGACCTATCGGCGAATTGATGCACTTGAGGCAAAGACTGGAGGAGGCCGATAAAGCAACGGCCGAGGCTAGTGCAATTGCCGAGGAGGCCTTAGCTCGGAACCGCCAGCTTGCAGCTGAATTAGACGTGCAGAGACGTAATAACGACACGCTTCGGCTGGACCTTCAGAAGGCGATGAACGAAGATAAGCGCCGAGAGGAAGAGGCAAAAGGCCGAGTTAGAACGAGTTAAGGAGTAGGCGAGGGAGCGCATTGTGGCTCAGCATGAAGCTGGATTTTGCCATGCTCTTCGGCAGGCCAGGTGCTTCGGCCGTTTCCGCGAAGACTTTGAGTTTGATATGACCAAATATTTTTATCAGGGGTCATTCATGTCATTCGAAGAGATGCCCGCGGGAGCTGTCCCTGACAGTGACGATTCGAATGACCTCCCTGAAGAGGATGAGGAAACTCAGGGTGCCTCGGAAGACGAAGCTGAGGAGGAGCAACCAGGACCGAACCATGAACAAGAGACCAAGCCAGAAACCCAAGAGGATGCTTCTGTAGACCCCAATGAATGATTGTTTTAGCTAGATTTTACGTGATAGTAATTTTTTTTTTTGTACTAAAGGTCTATAACACCTTCTTTTTAGTAATGAAAAGTAACTTGTCTTTGCATTCCGAATTGGTGTTGTGTGATCTTGAATTTCCGAACCCTCTAATCTGAATTGGTCTTCAAACACAACGCTTGTTAACATAAGTTAATAATTAAGACGTGCTAATAAGAGCCGAGTGAGGTCGTTTTAGGATATGCGTTTTCGTCGAAGCAAAACCGAATGGAGTCATTCGGCATTGCCTGCTTTTTGAAGCGAGACCGAATGGGCTCATTCGGAATTGCTTGCATTTTGAAGCAAGACCGAATGGAGTCATTCGGAATTGCTTGCTCTTTGAAGCAAGACCGAATGGAGTCATTCGGCATTTCTTGCTCTTTTGAAGAAAGACCGAATGGAGTCATTCAACATTGCTTGCTCTTTGAAGCAAGACCGAATGGAGTCATTCGGCACTGCTTGCTCTTTGAAGCAAGACCGAATGGAGCCATTCGGCATTGCCTGCTTTTTGAAGCAAGACCGAATGGACTCATTCGGAATTGCTTGCTCTTTGAAGCAAGACCGATGGAGTCATTCGGTATTGCTTGCTTTTTGAAGGCACATCCTTGGCCGAGTGGGGTCGCTCGGGAGGGAAACCTTTATGAGCGAATTTCGAAGGCACATCCTTGGCCGAGTGGGGTCACTCGGGAGGGAATCCTGTTTGTGTGAATTCCGAAGGCACATCCTTGGCCGAGTGGGGTCACTCGGGAGGGAAGCCCGTTTGTTTGAATTCCGAAGGCACATCCTTGGCCGAGTGGGGACACTCGGGAGGGAAACCTTTATGAGCGAACTTCGAAGGCACATCCTTGGCCGAGTGGGGTCACTCGGAAGGGAAGCTTGTTTGTTTGAATTCTGAAGGCACATCCTTGGCCGAGTGGGGTCACTCGGGAGGGAAGCCTGTTTGTTTGAATTCCGAAGGCACATCCTTGGCCGAGTGGGGTCACTCGGGAGGGAAACCTTGTTTTGTTTTTTGGAAAATAAACAATTGAAGTAGAGATGAGCAGAATGTGTTGAATTATATTTCATTGATGTGTGCCTCGTTAAAAACCTTGTCGGCCAAAACCCCTGTTCACTTTTTTATAAGGGGAAAAAAGACCGATCAAGGAAAAGAGTGCACCCTGTGTTTACATCGTGATCATTATTACAAAGCTTTAACTATAGTACGTCTTCAAATAGGACGAGTTCCATGTTCGTGGAATGATCTTGCCCGAGAGCTCTTCGAGCTTATACGCGCCATTGCGCCATTGTCGAGGTTGTGTCGAACTCGAAACGGGCCGTCCTAATTAGCTGCCAACTTG